TCACAAACACTCCCCATCAAACTTGATTGAGCTCCAGCTGTTTTCAAGGAAAAATCGGCAAAAATGTCACTCTCTCGATGTGCAATGTTAAAATTTTATATCTTTATGTTTTAAATCTGAAATGTGGCAAAAAGGTCATATATACATATAGAAAAACTCCAAACAAATTATTAACTTAAGGGGGCTGAATAATTTGCACAACCTATTTTTCTTGTTTTGTTATTTGTTAAAGCTTAAAATATCCAATAAATTTCGTCGCATTTCATGATTGGTCCCATTTGTTGTTGATTCTACTCAAAGTTAAAATTTTAGATCTTTATGTCTGAAATCTGAAATGTGGCAAAAAGGTCATATATACATATATATACATATGAATATACACACATGTAAACACACAAACTAGTCTCACTATCTTTGTGGGGCCTTTCCATTGACTCCATTAATTTCTACAGCCTATCCTTTACCCTTACCTAACTCTAACTATTACAGATTAATTCCTAACTTCATTGTAAACTCAATTCCCACCTTAGTTCTAAACATTGTAGGTCCCCACAATGTTCTTTTCTTTTTTTTCCCAGAAATTTTGCCCGACGACACGTACACACACATGCCACAGTCAAGTTTTCAAAGTCAAATTTTCTTCCCAAAATCTGAAAAAAAAAAAAAAAAGTCATGGTAATTTATCAGTTTAGCATTTTTAACCATATTTTTGAGCCAAGAAGCTACATCGTTTTGTCACATGGGGTTTCTTCTAACCCAGGGATGCTTCTAATTTATACTTATCTGATAAAAGTAATGAACATGTGCAGACTTATCTCTTTTTATAATTAGAGAAGCAATATATATGATTAAGATCAGACCTATACCAAACGAGCAAAGCACTAATTGCATAAATAGGATGACTGAAATATACAAAACATATTTGATTGGTTAATTTCCAAGTGAAATATGAGGCAGGGAGTTCTGTTAAAAATGCATATACCATTATACTAATTAACAAATGCATAGATTTGACAAATATCTTATTCCACATTTTGATTTGTCCCTCATATAATATATAAGCATGGAGAGGAAAAATAAATAGACGCTATTTGTTAAAAAAGGACATATAATTCACAAAAAGAAAATGTATCCGAGAGTGAAGTTAAAGTAACAAAAACGTATGAAAGAACAGCTAGTTAAGGCTTCCATGTGCCCTCTGTTCCCACAAATCTATCAATCACAACAGTTGCTTTCAAACTCCACTGCAAACAAGGTTTAAACTTGGAACACCTTGAACTGGAACTGTCTGGTGTAAATACCTAAATGTCTCTAAAAACTGAAGTTTGTCCTTTGACAGAGGTCCTTCCTGAGAGAACAAGTAACAATTGTCCTGTAACCGACTCAAACAGTCTCCTCAGGACATGTCAGCCTCAGTTTAACAAAAGGCAGAGGTTGGAAGAGAAGGAACACACACCAAACATGTCCCCACATTTCTGCACCTCTTTTTAGACAACTTTGCAACTACAATAGTAGAGATATGTAGAATATAATCAAAGAATGAGATGTGTGAAACAAGCTACAGCATCTCCCACCAAACAAAATTCCTAATCTCAGAGATGCTTATTTAGGCAGCTGGGCTGAATCCATCTTTCTGACAGAATCATTTCCAAAAGCCAAGCCCCCAACGGGCTCCTGGATGCGCTTCAGAGCTGTACCGCCTGGGAGGGCGTGTGTCAGTGTGTGCGAATACAGCATTTAAAATGTGGCACAAACAAGTTTCAACTTTACTCTTTCTTCATACAGATTATAAACAGAATTTATTGTTTTATTAATGCTCAGCTTGGCTTTCATCAAGTCTAGAGCTGTCACAACATCTTTGATTTGGACACGGTGAAATACACACCAATCACTTGTTATATTAAGACATATCCATCTAGGCCTCCAAATTCTGATAAACTACTCCTCCAGGCTGTGAAACTTTATGCTTGTGTGGGGTATTGACAGACAACAGCTAGCTGATTTAAAGGTCAACACCCCTGCATCCAATGAAATGAATGAACTCCAGATTATGGTTATAACCATAGCCTTGAGTTATAGGAACAGCCAGAAGGCACGTCACGCTAAACTGCTTTAAAGGATATGCCCTCATACATAAACATACTTCTAATTAAATTCTCATGACATGTCTCTACTGACACTACCTGTTCATCTACAACCCGTTCAGTTTGTGAGTCATTGTAAATGCACGTCTCGCAACTCTGACATTGCCATGACCTATTGAAGTCTAAAATTTGCTTTTTATGTGCAGCTTGTAGTCATTGTAGCTGTTTTGAATTAATATTGCAATAAGTGACACATCGAGCCATTCTTGTTTGACATTTTTTAAAGTTTTTTGAGTACGCCTCTTTAAAAAAAAAGAAATGCTAACCTCTTTCATCTCTATTGAGGGGTGATAGATTTATCTATATCACTACATGCTTTTTAAAATATTGTCCTAAAAGCTTAAAAGTTCACGGCTAGAGTGGCCACATTTCATTGTATTCTAACAAAAGGACCTTTTAGTTTTCTCAGGCAGACAGCACACAAAAGCCTTTCTACAAGATTGCTTTAGTTTTATTCTGAGTTTTTATGGACAGTACTGTTTGAATACGGGTTTCTTTGTGCTAAAGTGGGTTTTTAACTAATTCTACCCCCATTAATTTCACTCAAGTAAAGTAAAGGGCAGAGAAAAAGTATATCTTGCTTTTTTATTTATAGATTTACCTTGTACTTTTACTTTTCCCACTAGTGTGAATAATTATCTGAGTTTTACTTAAGCCCTCTTATTATTAGTGACTTTCACTTTTTACCAAAGTAGTTTTCTGTTAAGGTATTTTTACTTTTAATTAGTGATTTGTTTTGAGAACTTAATACACCTCTGTTTTATACACATGGCATCTGATAAAGTCTTTGCAGTCTGGTCTCTGGCAAAATCTTTCTTACTCTGATAAAATCCATTAAAACTTGTAGAAATCCTTGTGGAAAAAGTAATTCAATGAAGAAAAGGAAAGTACAAGAAAAGAAAGATAAAGCATTGTGGAATCCAAATGGCAGAGAAAAATCTAATGCTATAATTTGCCACAAGAGCCAATATGTTCCAGTGGATAACGAGTATTAAGATTCTTATCTGCTACAGATCCTCATGCCATAGTTGGGTGAAAGGCTCGCTCAAATGTCACATGCAATAGTGTTTACCATAGAAAAGGGTGCCTGTAATGAGAAGTAACTATTGTTCCTCTCAGAGCATGGTTTTGAGTATTTAAATACATTACTGACATTAGGCATGTGGATACTAGTAATTGCTTGCTAAGCTATTTATGAGTCACAGTGGCCAATTTTAAGCAATGAAATGGATTAACTATAGATGGTGGTATAATGCTAGTGCTGCTATATTGTGCAATACTTGTATTTTATACTCACGACTCTAATCAATTTAGCAAGAGCACATTTGGGTAGTTCTTCCAAATTGAATAACAACTCCCCCCAAGTAAATGAAAAAAATTAAAATGGTGATGTTAATGTTTTTTTCCATTGCTACATACACAGCTGCCTAATTGAGGCCCTTTTACATCTAGAGCTGAAGATAAAATGAACAAGAGAAATTTCATCTCTCACAGGTAGATACACTTCTTTGACTGAATCCAGTTAAGAGTAAATAAGCTGCATTAGTCCAAGTTTTTTTTAGGGGATTTTCATGACTAGTGAATCAAACATAAAGCTGGTTATTATTCAATCATATCTGCAGCATGATTTTACCTGGAAAACAGCAACAGGTAAAGAATTTATTGTTTCAATACAATCATACAACCTAATATTTTTGCAGTGCTGACCAAAGACTTTTCAATTTACAAATCTTTAATTTTTTGTGTAATATTGTGGGTTTTTGGTGTCTTGTGTTTGTTAAACCATAATATTACCTGCCTTTTATGTGTCACGTGTTCATCTAATTGTGACAGTTGTTTTGTCAGGACAAAAAGTTAACATCTTCATTATGAACGTAACAAAAATTTGGTAATGGAATGGGAGAATTGCTCTTGGTCTAAGAACACTGACAATTATCTGGATGTGGTTGGAGTCAGTGAAGTCACCTCATATACAAACGTGTACAATGTAATGATGTGAGATGTGATGATGTGGCAGGGTGCAACACTGGAAATGTATAAAATGCTTCTTTAGCCGTTATTTGTGGCTGCTGCTGACTGTTTTGACCAGAAAGTACCTTACTATCTGTACAATTTCTCTGGTCTGAGTAAGATTACCATTCTGTTATGTTTTGTAGTCATTTAATACATAAACTTAATAAAATGTTATTTAAAGTACGGCTGAAACAATTAATCAGATTCATCATGATTGAAGTAGTTTAGTAATAGAATAATCGTTAAATGCAGTATAGAGAAACATGCCTTTAGCCGACAGAGCAACCCACTCAGAGCTGCAATTTTACCAAAATTGTAAAATAAAACTATATTTAACTATATTACATTTAATATGCTCCATTCAGAACTCCTCAAGTGGAAAAAATTTAGTTTCACCAGGCTTAATTCTCTAAAAAAATTCTTCTTTAAGGACCCTTTTACTATCCCATTATTAATCGAAAAAATAATTGACAGGTTACTCGGTTTTCAACATAATCGTTTGTTGCAGCCCTAATTTAAAGTGTTTATTCCGAGCGATTTCTTCTCAGGAAAGAATCGGGAGAGAAAGCTTAAAGATGTAAACACAAACCTTTCCTTTACAAGTTCAATCTCCCTAATCACCAGGATGTTTCTGCATCAGTGCTTTAGAAATACTCTGAGAGGTCTGCAAAAGGGATCATTAAAGAGCTGCTACCCCTCGCTTTCTCCAAAATGTCAAAGGAAGCTTTGAAAAAACTCCTTTTTAGAAGAATTATTTTTGGAAAAAATGTATAATTGAAAAATCATTGTCAGAAACAGCCTATGAAAACTCTGCCTTCAATGTAAACATTCAGGAAATCTTACCTGTAAATTGGATCCTGCATCACAATCATCTTGCTTTCATCCCAGGTCCACTCGTTCTTCTGTAAACAAATACCAAGCTTCATTTAGATCCTATTCTAAATGTGACACACATACAAAGCTTCATGCAAAATTTACTAGACAACAATATAAAGCAGTAGTTTGATGTTTGAATTTCTGTGTGCATTTTTATTTTTTTCTTTACACTGACTGATTCCTGATTATTAATCTCTATTCCCAGGGTGTCAATTTAGGAAAATAGCTGTGTCTAAGTGTTTCCTGCTTAGCATTTCTCTATTCTGAAAACATTTCCAGATTTTCCTTTAATTTCACAAGCTCACGATGCTTTGCAATGACATTAACTCCTGACAAAATAAACTGAACCTGGTAGTTTGTGAAGATCCAAAATTAAAAAAAAGAAATCAGTAGAATTGAATCTTTCAAGGGACAAAAGCAAAGGAAGGCCCTTAATTACATGAAGCTGTGTAAATAACACATTTTAAAGAAGAGGCTATGTAAGCTCTCCTTTTATTAGTTTTTATTTGTCCAATTGATTAAAGCCATCTTTCAATTTAAGGTCACAATCAAAATGTCAACGCACAGAGACACAGGAATTATTCATATTGATTCCTGTCTCTAGAGAGGGCTTTGTTGACTTGAGTCATTGAATGGCTCCCATCTTGGCCCATCAGTGCTCCCGCCATCCTCAGACATGTAAATAGCTGGTTGGAAATTTGACATTTCAGATTTTATGAGACCAGAGAGCACATGAGGCTAAATCCTCCATCTTTTCCATTTCAATAGTTACCGGTAAATTTTTCCAATCAGATTTTGCTTTTTCATAACAGTGGAGTCATGCTAAAAATATTTATTTGGAATTAAAAAGAGAAAAGGTGAAAATAGAACTTATATTTCTGCATATTAAAATGATTTCATGTAAGAAGTGTTTTTAAATGATATTTGCAAGCACTGTAAACTAAGTGTGCAAGCTGAAAGCAACTGTGACTCTGCTAGTGACGACACCACCCGTTTCCTTTGACTCTTTTGTCATCTCTGAACTCCCTTCTCCCTTTCATTTCCGCTCTTTCATTGGTTTCGATCACCAAAGAGCTGTTTGTCCTCCACAACTTTCTGTCCTTTCTCACCTCTGCTTGCCATCTAATTAAGGAAAAGATCGATCCTTCAGTCTATAATAAGCTAGAATGCAGGACATGCTGCTGAAAGTATAATGGTTTGAGACCAGTAGGAACTGTAAAATAAATGGTATTTCACAGACAAATCTTGCGATCTTTAGTTAGTTTACTGAATTTTCTTCTAAATCCTCCTGTTTGAAAATGTTTAATATTTATTTATTTGTAAATCCCTTGTTCTTCTTCATGTAATTACATCTGTTTTGTCATACTGCAAACATCGGTTAACAGTATGAGAAACAAATGTTTATTATGCTGCAAAGATAAACATGAGAAACAATTCCTAAATAGTGGGTAAAGTTATTATTCATAAATTATGTTACATTTATAGTCACATTTTAATTAAAGGTGAAAAAGAAAAAAATAATTGCTTCATTTCAACAGGGTTTATACAGGAATTAGAGTAAATCTAATTTAATGATTTTTAATGCCCTTTTAATGCTCTTAGAAATTATTTTAATGCAAAGTACCCATGAATCTCATATAATGGCAAAATCTTTTGTCATCTTTACCGTCGACAGGATGCAGCCTTGTCCCAAATCCCTCGTTTTCCACCCACTTTTGTTGAAATTAGCATTTTCCGATTCTCTAGCTTTTTCTCCGCCTCAAGCTTCTTTTCCGAACATACGGCTTTATGATCAACTGAAAGTAGTTCCGCGCAAATAAATCACAATTTATTACATCTGGCGAAACTGTTTTTATAAACGTATATGAAAAAAATACATTTTAAATGTCTCGATAATCACATTTAATGAATTTTAATGCCAATTTAGGCCTAAATTTGAAAAATAATAATTTAAGGACTTTTTATGATTTTTAATGACTTGCGGAAACCCTGTTCAAATAACCTGAGTTCTTTTCATTCGTGTCAATTGCATTCTTATCATATTGTACATTTCAGATTAGATTTACAGTGCAGGTGTTTGTAAAAACATGAACATAAGAAACCTGATTGTGTTCATGTTTGAAAATCTGGTGAATCCAGAATAAATACACACATCATACTATAACCTGTAGGCTGCACAACAAAAAAA